GCCGGCGCCGCCCGGTCGGGTGGACGTAGCCGAAACCCCCACACCCGCCCAGCCCTGGACCGCTGGGTAGCTGGCTGACTAAGGGACCCAGTCGGCCATCCGGATCCCCCACCCGATCTGACATCTCGGGTTTACAATCAATAACATTCCTGCCGATGTAACTGTAATCCACATTGTTGCGATGGCTCACGCCTGTAATCCCAGCACTTTGGGAGATCGAGGCAGCCGGATCACCTGAGGTCAAGAGTTCGAGACCAGCCTGACCAATATGATGAAACCCTGTCTCTACTAAAATTACAAAAATTAGCCAGGCCTAGTGGCAGGCACCTGTAATCCCAGCTACTTGGAAGGCTGAGGCATGAGAATTGCTTGAACCCGGGAGGTGGAGGTTGCAGCGAGCTGAGATCATGCCACTGCACTCCAGCCTGGGTGATAGAGTAAGACCCGGTCTCAAAAATAAATAAATAAATAAATAAATAATAAAAGGGCTGGGCGCGTTGGCTCACGCCTGTAATCTCATCACTTTGGGAGGCTGAGGCAGGCAGATCACAAAGTCAGGAGTTAAGAGGCCAGCCTGGCTAACATGATGAAACCCTGTCTCTACTAAAAATACAAAAAAAAAATTAGCCAGGCATGGTGGCGTGCACCTGTAATCCCAGCTACTCGGGAGGTTGAGGCAGGAGAATTGCTTGAACCTGGTAGGTGGAGGTTGCAGTGAGCCGAGATCGCATCACTGCACTCCAACCTGGGCGACAGAGCAAGACTGTCTCAAAAAAATTAAAAAAAATAAAGAATATCTGACTTCTTTCTCCAGAATATAAAATTGGAACTTAAATGTTGCGGTTTATGTTGGCATCCCAGGCTGAGGGGTTGGGTGCTGGGGTGAGGTGGGTGCCATGCTGGTGTGCTATGTCTGTGGTTCTGAGTTGGGTTGGTTGGGATGGTCTCCGCTAACCTGACTGTCCTGTTTGCCCCTGTCCCAGGGCTGCCCATGTATGTGAAGTCCCTGTACTGGGCCCTGGCGTTCATGGCTGTGCTCCTGGCAGTCTCTGGGGTTGTCATTGTGGTCCTGGCCTCAAGAGCAGGTATGGTGTCCCCCACAGTCCTCATCCCTTCTCCCTGCTGCTTCACTACTGGGACTGTGTTTCCAGCCCTTAAAACACCTTAGAATTCGAAAGAGACACTGGGAGAGGCAACATGAAGACATGGTACTTGATAAGCAAAGTTAAGGAAAATTGGTGCCTTCCTCCCACTGGACACAGCTTGTGCACTGATAAGCAATCAGATGCCAGCCGTCACCCCAGGGACTTTGTGCACTGCACACACTATAAAACCTCCCTGGGGCCCTGCACACCCTGAGGTTTGCCAGTTCCATGCCCCTTCATTTGAGGTGGCAACCAGGCTTTGTTTATTTAATGCAGCTTACCCTGCAGCTCACCAGCAGTCTCTGTGCTTGCAGGAGCCAGATGTCAGCCATGCCCCCCAGGCTGGGTGTTGTCCGAGGAGCACTGTTACTACTTCTCTGTAGAAGCACAGGCCTGGGAAGCCAGCCAGGCTTTCTGCTCAGCCTACCACGCTACCCTCCCCCTGCTAAGCCACACCCAGGTGAGAAGGGGGTGGCCAATCTAAGGGGGTACAGATCCTTCTAGACCACAGAATCCTAGCACTGGAAAGAAGCTTAATGATTTAATCCAGCTCTTCATTATAGAAGTCACCAAGATATAGAGGAATAGCATGACCATAACTTCGTGTAGCCTCTAACTCCTGTGCTCAGGCGATCCTCCTGCCTCAGCCTCCCGGGTAGCTATAGGCATGTGCCACCATGACCAGCTTTAAAAAAAAATTTTTTTTTGGCCATGCACAGTAGCTCACACCAGTAATCCCAGCACTTTGGGAGGCCAAGGTGGGCGGATCACAAGGTCAGGAGTTCTAGACCAGTCTGACCAACACGCTGAAACCCTGTCTCTACTAAAAATTAGCCGGACATGGTGGCGGGTGCCTGTGATCCCAGCTATTTAGGAGGCTGAGGCAGGAGAATTGCTTGAACCCGGGAGGCGGAGGTTGCAGTTGAGCCGAGATCACGCCACTGCACTCCAGCCTGCGCAACAGAGCGAGGCTCCATCTCAAAAAAATAAATAAAAAATAAAAATAAAAATTTTTTTAAGAGACAGGGTCTCACTATGTTGGCCAGGCTGGTTCAAACTCATGGCCTCAAGTGATCCTCCTTCGTTAACCTCCCAAAGTGCTGGAATTACAGGCATGAGCCACTGTGCACAGCCAAGCGCTTATGTTTTAATCGTTGGTCTCTGGGTCATCTTTTGATGGGCTGGGTTTGGCTGGACTGCTCAGCTTTAGAATGCAGATTGCCGGGCTTGGTTTGAGGCTGCAGGTTGGGTTTGTGTTTGCCCCAGAAGCCTCTCATCTTTCTACCTGAGAGAAACTCTTCATAAGAAAGATGGCAGACGTCTGAGAAACAAGCCAAACTGTGCAAGCATCATTTGAAGCCGCCACTCCTGTCACACAGGCCAACGTTTCAGTGGTCAAAGCAATAACATGGCCCAGCCAAATATCAAAGGGCAGTGTAGAGTAGTCCATTCCCATGGGAGAGGGAGAGGAGTGGATGTTTGCTGAACAGTAATCCAGTCAGTGGGTTTGAGAGCACCTACAAAAAGGGACCAATAGACAGGATCCAGCCCTTGGCATAATTTTTATTTTCATTTTTATTTATTTATTTATTTTTTGCAACAGAGTCTCACTCTGTTGCCCAGGAAGGCTGGAGTGCAGTGGCATGATCTCGGCTCACTGCAGCCTCCACCTCCCAGGTTCAAGGGGTTCTCTTGCCTCAGCCTCCAAAGTAGCTGGGATTACAGGCATGCACCAGCACACCTGGCTAATTTTTGTATATT